AAGGGAGCTCGGGAAGCGGGCCGGTCCGCAGCCTCCATTGTGCCCAGGGAGCCGCTGCCCGTGCAGGGTATGCCCGGATGTTTTAGACTTCTGCCCGCTAAATAAAAAGATCTGGGTGGCCACTGCTCATGACTGCGTTTGCTTCCCTGGTGTGTCTGCTTTCCATGCGCCTCGTGTAAAAAGGAGCCCCACACGCCCACAGCCGAAGCATCCTGCCCGGCTGGGCAGCCYGGGCCCTGGCTCGATTCGCTTTCCCCTCTTTCCTCCTCTGCTCTCTTTAGTTYAGCCTGCACCTTCTGAACGTGGCTAATAAGGTGGCATTTGGGGCTTCTCAAGAGCCTTTGAGGAGCCGCTTTCCCGGGGAGTTGCAGAGAGGCTCCGTAGGGCTGGGGCTTCGGAGAGCTCTGCTTCCGAGCAGCAGCAGCCGCCAGATGTCATCCATGAACAGAGGATGCCGCTCCCGCCGCTCCCTCCCCGTCTGCTCTGCCCGCCGAGCGCCTCTGCACGGAGACCGGGCGCTTCACACGTGCGAAAGCGCTTGCTTGGTGCTCGGGCTGTGCGCTCAGGGCCTGGCCTCGCTTTGGGTCCCTTTGCGCAGGGTTAGGACGAGAGTCCTGCGTTCGCCTTGTTAGGAGCACGAAGCCCAGCCTGCGGTGCCRTCTGGCCTGTCGGAGGGCGCTTCCCACTTCCCCTGCGCGTGCCRGGCTTCTGTGCGCTGCTTGGGGAGACTTCTGCCCTTTGGAGGAGTTAGAGTGCAACATGAGGCTTCACTTAGGCAGCAGCAGCATCAAATTCAAAACAGGCATCTATTCTTTCTGAAAGGGAATGATGGATCTGAAAATTGTGAGGGGTAAATTGTAGCAATTGCTGGGTAAGGAGTGACAGAACAAAGCATACAGGAGGACATAAGCTCAAAATACCTCTAATTTTGCTGAACCATTGAGTATGTGAACTCTGTCTCTAGAGCTGGTGATATCCCCTTCGGTATATATATTCACGTGACAGTGAGTAGTTAGCCCATGAGATGGCTAAAAATGACAGGCATGTGAGTGTAAGCAGTCCTGCTTTATGGGAAAAGAGTTCTGCTCATCACTTGTGATTCTGAAGATACGAGGCTTTCCACTGAAAAATAAAATGTGCAGTTCGACTGCACCCTCTGTAGTGCATTTGGATGAAATTCTCTCCCCGAGATAAATGTTTCTTGCTAGAGATGAAGTGAATGCTGAGCTGAAATTTTCTCCTGTGTAAGAGACATGCAGACCTGGATGACATGTAGATCCTGGGGAGTCCTGGGAGAGCGCATGGAATAGCAGAAGTCCTTGAGGCTCTCAGTGGTGACTCAGTGCTGAGGCTGCTTCCCTTCCATGGATCACGTGGCCTGTTTTCCCATGTTGAAATGTCAATGACACAGACTAAGCTCCTTTTCCTACCAGACTGGAGTAATTCTGCATTTATATGAAGTGGCAGAAGAAATGAGCTCTGGACACAGAAAGCAAAACGGTGTTTCAGTCCTCTGCGTGTGCAAGACCAGACCTAGGGGCATTGGTGAGGTTGTACTTGACTCTTGGTGGTCTGACTAATGGAAAGTGTATCACTGCCCCTTGCCCATCACTTGACTCTCAGGCTGTACTTGGTTCCTGATGGTCTAAATATTGGCAAGTGCGTCATTGCCTCTTGAACATCTCTTGACCCATGGCAGTTGATGCATAACTTAATTTGTCTATTTATGTTGTCATAGAAGTAAAGAACAGGAACAAGAAAGTGGCCAAGCAATGTCAGTTTTCTTTCCAACTAGTCTTACCTGCAAGAATCATTAAAGCGATGTGTTCAAGACATCACTTTATTGCTTAAAACATCTTGTATGAAAGTAATTGCCCTTCTTGAAATGACGGGAACAGGAGTAGGGACTTGAAAGGTGTGCAGAAGGGATGTTTGCTTTTCCAGCTKCAGTCTGGAGCCCTGATTCTGGGGCGCTTGAGGTTTGATGGTAGCAGTGGGACAAATGTGGCAGCATCTCTCTGCCCAGCTTGGGAACCCAGGAGGAAGCTTGCGGTCACTGAACTCCATAATATGGTGGTTGTTTCTCAGCATGGACTGTACCCTGCTCTTAAGTTCTTTATCAAAACAGCAGGATTACTCTCCTGTATGTAAAAGTAGCACTGGCTTTATTGGGCACTCATGTTTTCTGCCTTGAAGTCAGAAGGCTGATATGTCTTAATGGCTTATCATGGTTATACCGTTAAATGAAAAATTCTGCAAACTGAGGCGCAGTATATGCCTGGTGTGAAGCTAAGTGAACCAAAATACATAGGCCAATTGCAGGAGGGCAGTGGACCATCCAGCCTGTATTTTGAGGAAAACAGGATTTGGATTGTTTTGTCTGGTGAAGAGTGTGCTGGTGGCTAACTCAAGCTCAGGAGGGCAGGCAGAGCCCTACTGCAAAGGTGATGTCATGCCTATCTGAATGTAAACTAATTAGCAGAAATTAGGTAGTTCAGCTTGCTTATTAAACATGTAGGCAGTGGATAAGGAAGAACCACTTTCTTTTATAGTACATGTCAGCATCACATTATTTTATTTAGCAAGCACTATAAACAGCACTTGCCCATGTGAACGCTCACTTGCTGATAGCTACTTGTCGGTAAAATAGGGAGTCCATCATGTCTGGTCAACTCTGATTAGAGCAGAGACAAATAACTGACATGGTAGCTTACATAAGAGGACTTTGGTGCAGGCTTGYAGTCTTTTATTCCATTTTTTTTTTCAGTTATGGAAGAGCTAGAAGAGCTAGCATCTCTAATAGCAGCACTGTGAAACTTCTGGAAACCAAACAATCTTCTCTAACAACTTGAGACAAGTTGCAGCAAGTGTGAGAAACCTGTAAGCCTTCTAAAATTAAGCTAGTGCACTAACCTGAAAGGTAGGCTGCTGTTTTAGCAGCAAAATTGGTCCATTTTAAGTATGTTTTGCATTTCTAGTGCGTAGATGTCTCCAGGTGGCCTGTACAGCACTTTTGGCCTGACTTTGTTTGATGTGGTTCCTGTGTCCAACTGAACCATCCTAATGTCTGAGAGGGATGATCCGTTTTTTGTGTGTGTGTGTCATCTGGCATCTAGGTATTTGGGATTTTAGTAGTGTCTTTTACAGGAATGGATGGAAGATGGAGCTTCTTGGGAAAGAGAACACAGGACCATTTTCCTGAGGAGCTGCTGTCAATGATAAAACGACAGTCCTTCAGCGTTGTTGCTTCTTAGTATATTCATCCTAGATGCTGTCTTCTCTTCATGAACTCAGAGCTGTTAATGCAGGACTCTTAAGACACCTAGAGCCTGATGGGGTTGCTGAGACACGAAGTGTTTCAGCTGGCACTACAACTCTCAGAACGATGTTAAGACACCTAATGTAGGTGTCTACATGTGTGCCAGTGCCCAAGTTCTCATTATAATCATGGAGATATAATTAGGAAAGCTAAAGATAGCAATTATCTGACCAGCTCCTGTGTGTCTTCTTTAAGGCGAGTTGATATGTCCAGGCTCTGACTACATCTATTTTTACTCTTAAGGGGAGTGTCTSTACGTTCATTTAAGGTTTTAGCCTGAGAGCAATTTAGCTTGAAATGATAGCCCTTTTTATTGTGTGGAACTTTTTAGTAACTCTCTCCAGAAGTGAACAAACTAAACAGTTCCTCTTTCTGTGCCAAGAGCACTAGCTAAGCAGTGGGAAATGCCAACTTTCATCTAGAAGTCTCCTAGTGTATTTGGATCACTGCTTCCAAACAATACCATAACCTTGCTGCGCTAAAGGCTGTACCGGAGAGAATAGTTGGGTATCAGCAATCTAAATGGAGAAATCTGAGCAGAAACACACACACACACACACACACACACACACACACATATATATATATATATATATATTTTAATCATGACCTGTGCAGACAGGATCAGAGTATTTCAGTATTTAAAGACATTGCTTACTTGGAGATTAAAAGTGAGACATCCTTATTCCTCCCTAGACTTTGAATCAGGCAGTGGACTTGAGAAGTGGAAGTTGTTTTGACCAAYGTTGAACGTTGTGACGTTTCTTATAGGTTGCTTTCTCTCCTCAGTTTAGAAGATGACCTAAATGCAAAGGTCAGGGAGGCTCATCTCCTTTTCATGCTAAGTGTYAGTTTTGTTAACAGGCACCTAAGTTAGCGTTGACTCGTATACTTCATTTGAACTGCTGCTCTTCTAACTGCTGCTCTTCTAAGCTGTTGGTGTGCCACAGCAACGAGCATTACCTGGTTTGTCTGGAAACCTGTCGTAGTACACTTTCTACTGTGGAGATGCCAGTGGAAAAGTTGAGGTGAAGCTTCTTGGTGCAGAAAGGTGAGATAACATTTGGACCTCCTACAAGCGACTCTTGTGGAGCAACATCTGTTAAGGCAGTGGTTTCCCAACCGCTCAGTTTCTCAAGCAGTCCTTGGCTTCAGTTGACGTTCTGGGTCTTGTGGAACCGGCAT